CTCAGATGTGTAAGGCAACTCCCTTGGTGTGAACACTCCGTGGGACCACGCAGCCTCTAGGTGGAAAGGCCTTAGAGAGCATGCCCAGCACCCCTGTTTCACAGCTGAGCACTGAGATGGCCATGAAGCTGTGGGTGGCAGGGATTTCTGACTCCCAGCTCGTTGCTCGTATCACTCTTCCACGTGACTCCATTGTTAACTAAAAGGTTTCTCCTGAATCAGGAATGAGCAAAGGGAAATTCTGTGTGCTTGTGGGTGTGCGTGACACACAGAGCCATTCATAGACAGCAGTACAAGTACCTGTGCTGTGAAAATGCCCGGGGCTGCTTTTAAACCCTGACTCACTCCTTCTATTTCTGTAAATGTAAAGTTAGCTTTCGAAACACAACAACAGCAGCGTTTAATTATACACCCATTCACAACTAGATTCTACTTTCCGCATGTCACGGGCAGCCCCCAGACACTGGCATGACCAAGCACAAAGCCCTTCTGCTGAAGAATGCTGCCAGCAGGTGGCGTCGTGGTTAAGGTGCTGGATTTCTGGGTGGCCACTCCCCCACCACCAAGGTGATTTCTCACTTTTCTCTGGTGAGCGTACTCACCCTTTGGGGGGAAAAAATGCCGTCTTCTCCTAAAGGTGTTAGGAGAGCACTTTGCCCCACCTGTTCACTTGGGAACACGATGCCTTGCCATCCCACAGGTCTCGCACACCTGCTTGCCCCACTGCATCAGGCTGGACCCATCTGTCTCCCTGACACCGGCACAGCGGTGGGGGGGGGGACTGTGTGGTGGGGTCGTGCACGAATTGTCTTTGTGAGCATAGATCACTGTGAGGGCTTCGCAGACCTGCTGCTGGGAAGTCCTGTTTCTCTTCTAGAATGAGTTTATGTGCTTTAGCACGTAACTTGTTCATAAAACAGCGCTCGTGAGATTGAGGCTTCCCTCTGCTCTCTGTCTTGTACCACCAGAAGGCCCTCAGAAGCACTCCTAAGCCAGGTCCTGGCCACTGCTGCTCCATCCTGGGAAAGTGCAAAGTGCGCACAGCAAGCCCCAGGTACCAGGAAGAGTCCGCCTGCCACTCAGCATCACCTCTCTGCAGGCTTCCCAGGAGCCGCCTCCTTACAGCTCCCTGTGCTCCGTCCTGCAGGCTGGGGCTGGGGGAAGGTATGTCCCTGACCTTGCTGCAAGGACCTGAGGCTCCTGTGGATGATCCTGTTAATTGGTCTGTTTTTCTTCCCCTTCCTGTCAAATACAGGAAATTAGATTTGACCTCTGCTCTGATCGCTCTAAAATCATTCTTGGCACTAAAGACTTCCAGCCTTTGTAATCAGAGCATCTATTATCACCCTGATTAACGCTGGAGCTCTGATGGGGCGGGATCCAAAGGCAAATGCGATTTCTGTGATTCCTCGTCCCCATGTTGAGTGCAGATGTCTTTAAATGGAGTGAAATCATTTTTAATAAGCATGCATCAGCATTCAGATGGCTCCGGGGTGCATTAACAGTTTCCCAGCAAAATGCCCCATGTCAAACCAGCTTATGGGCCCCTTGCAGGTCCAACAAGGAAAGACAGGGAAAATCTCAAAGTAAATCCAATTCCCAACCAAACCATTATGTATTTAGGGCAGACTCAGAAATGCGATGCTGTATTTTTCTCGGCCCTAATGGAGCACCACGCTCTGCTCAAACACGTTAAAAGGAGGGAAAAAGAGACAGCAGAAACCACTGTGCCCAGAGATTAAAGAAGAGAGACAAGAATGAAGAAGTCTCCACTTCAAGTTTAGATTTATTTTATAAGGAAACTGATTCCTTGTTTGGAGCCTCCATTTTTTTTCCCAGCCTTAAAATAATATTAGAGATGATCCCCACAAGCCTTTTGTGTAAGTTATCTATAGTGTTTCTACAGAGTATATTGATTCAGTTCACAATTATTGAACCCATAATTTCAACTATATTGACTATGCTTTGAACCATGGAGGAACTAATGATTATTGCTCCTGTAATGAGAGGATCACGTTTTTATTTTTCAGCAAACACTTTACTCGGGACCTGGTACAGATAAGGTGCTCAGTAAATATTTGTGGAATGAATTGGGTGGGGGAGGGAATTCTTAGAAAATGCAAATTGAACTAGAGGTTACAGAGAAGTACATAAATAATTGTACTACAGGATGTGGAAAGTATCTGAAGAGAAGAACAAATAACGATTTGGGGTTAGGGGCCAGCAGGTGGTGTGGTGGTTTAGGTGCTGGGCTCCCACATGGATGACTGTGGTTTGAGTCCCGGACCTGCCAGCTTGCTTTCTCTGCCCCTCCCCCACATCCCCTACTCCTCCTGGTCTCTTTCTGTTGAGTGCACATGCCCTGTAGCAAATTTTAAAATAATGATAATGATAGATAAAATAAAATAATTAATTCTTAAAAATACATATTTATATATTCGGGATTAAAGAAGAAGGGGATATCCAGAGGGCAGGGAGAATGGAAATGGTGCTCCTGGCCATGGAGGGTTTTGCCCGGGCTCTGATGGTTGGTGGATCATCAGTGGAAAGGAGGGAGAGCGGGTGCCTCCTGGAGAGAAGCCAAAACCCCAGCTAAAGGTGGCAAAACGAAGCTAGGAGAACACTGGCTCCCCACCAGTGCGCCCAGGCAGGGGATGCACAGAGAGCTGGGGGGCAGGCACGGATGCCCCTTCCTCCTTGGAACATCCAGTACAGACAGCCCCTGTCCCATCCCAGTCTTCACATCTGCCCTCCAGGAAGGGAGCACTCCACTTGACACCTCAGGAGATGCATCACGGTCAAATCACTAGAAAAGAAAAGTCTGGAATCTGTCCCTACGTCTTTCTGACACCAAACCTCCTCTTCTCCATCTTTGAAGGAAAAATACTATCGAGACCAAAAGAACCCTTGACGTTGAGGCTGAGCAAGGCCTAGGTGTACAGGCAGGCTCCACGGGGAATCTGAGTGGGAGATGGGCACAGACAGAGCTGACGCTTAGGAAAAGCGCGAGGCAGGGCCGTTGGACATGCTACAAAGAAAAGAGCACACGCCAAGGAGACCCATTAAAAAGCCACAGCAGGGAGTCCAGCCAGTATGACACAGGGGTAGTGCGAGTGACCTGCAAGGCTAGAAGCCATATGGCCAGTCTTAGGTTCAGGCCCCCAGACTGGCCTGAAAGCACACTAGGTGCATATGTGGATGCCCAGGACCCAGAGGAGACAAAGGACTGGGGAAAAGGGACCGTGGTGTGACGAGACCCTGCTGAGGGTGTTTCTCTTTCTCTTACACGTTTGTGCTGTCCTGCAGGAGCACACCCATCCTCTACTAAAAGATGAAAGAAGAGGAAAGAAAAAAACATAGCAGGGGTTTGAGGAGGAGGTTCTGGGGTTGGTGCAGAGGGCATAGGGGGAGGAGAGGAGCCTGAGAGGCATCCTTTCAAGAGCTTCAGAATAATGAAATCTGCGTCGGTTTGGCACATGCACCAAAAAAGTCACCCTCTAAATATTGCCAGGCACCTGATTCATTACTCTTCCTGCCTCACCTGCCCCGAGCCTCTGCGTGGACTGTATGGGAAATGGCACTTGAACAACCTTTTAGCAAGGACCAGCCCCGAACCAGGCATGGGATGAGGCCCTTTGCTGTGAGGAGTTGACACTCAAGCTGGGGAGACCCAGAGAGCCCCGGAGGTGCTCAGTATGTGGGGCAGTGAGGGAGGTGACACGTCTTTCCTGCATGTGTAGATGAGAGATGGCTCTGAGAGACTGACAGCAGACCTGCACTGGGTGGAGCGCGGGGAGGAGGGCCACAGTGCTCTCCGCTCTGCCCAGCTTGAGCATCTCAGTGGGAAGCCAGTGGAGGCAGAAAGGACCTGAAGGCATTTGGCCCCACAGCACTGCAGAGGCCCCTTCAGAAATTCATCTGTCACCAATTAGCCAGGCAGAGAAGGCCCTTGGTCTACCCAGAGAGACCTAAGCAGAAACTGTCTTGAAAACTCAGATTTGGATCAGAATTTCAGCCTGTTGAAGGAAATCTGTTTTCTTTTTTCCTTCTTTTAAAGTTGTGTGTGTGTACGTGTGTGTCTCTGTGTGTGTGTGCTTTAAACAGATCATTACAGTTAAATGAGGTCATAAGGGTGGAGTCCTCTCCTGAGAGGCCTCAGAAGAAAACGAATCTGCCAATATCCCGATCTTGGACATTCAGTCTCCAGAACTGTGGAAATACTTTTCTGCTGTTTTAACGAACTGTACATACACACATCTTAAAGTTTATTTCTTCCACGAGTGAGACAGACAGAGGTAGAGAGAGAGCACCCTCAGGGCAGCCAGTGACTTGGTGGTTAAGGCAGCTGGATCCCATATGACAGGCTGTGATTCAAGTCCCGGACCCAGTGGTTTAAACATACCGGGTACGTGTGTGCGTGCCCAAGATCCCAAAAGGAGGGAGGAATAGAGAAGTGATTGCGGCGTGACCATTCCCCATGGAAAGTGCTTCCTTACTTTCTCTCCTCCTTTCTCTCTCTCTCTCTCTCTAGCAAGCACATGAGCCCTCTGGTAAACAAAAATGGAAGCAAAAGCAAAAACAACGCCAAACAGCATCTTGATGTTGCAACCCACACCTAGCCTCAGCCAGCCCCAACCACGGGCACACACATGCCTGGTGTACTCAATGATGCCTCCAGATGTGAACCTGAAATCTTCCCATGCAGAATACCTCTCAGAGCAGAGCATTTAAATGCTGCACCACCATCCAGTCCAGAAATCCATTCTCTAATTCTTTACTCCCTGGGAGAGCAGAGAGCATTAGCACAGATGGGGAGGGTCAAGAGTAGGTTTTCTTTGTTCCAGGCTCCAGACAGAGCAGCCACTCCCAGCCTTTCCCCATCAGGAGGTCACTAGAACCACTGCCTTGGCCACCGAGGATGTCCCTTGCAGGCCAGGTGGGGACAGGCAGCACTGACAGGTACCTCTAGCTCAAAGTCTTTCTCTGCTCATCCCATCCAGCCTCAAGCCCTACTCCAGACGGGCAGGACGCCAGGCAGCCAAGGAACAGGAACCCTTCCACCTGGACCGTGGAGGATGTGGTCTGGTTCGTGAAAGATGCCGACCCACAGGCTCTGGGGCCTCATGTGGAGCTCTTCAGAAAGCACGTATGCAGGGGCGGGCCTGGCTGGGGAGTGCGGGAGGTGGGGGAGGTATGTATGGAAGGAGGATGGGGTTCAGGAGCTACAGGAAGCTGGACGGTCTGAACTCAGCCCTAGGGGCACCCTCGAGAGAACCAGAGATCCAAGGGACTGATCCAACCACTGTTCTCAGCAGAACCACCACTTAGTTTTGCTTTGAAAGGATTAGTTGTCCCATCTGTTCTCCCATTTTGGTCTTCAGCAG